GAGGAGGGGGGGGGGGGGGGGGGGGGGGGGGGGGGCAGGGATGCCTGGATGGATGCCGCTGTACATGTATTGCTGCTGCTGATGCTGCTATAATGCTACTGTCTGGTGTGTTGCGTGTCGCGCGTCTTGTGCGTGAGCTTTGCTTGTGTCACTCGCGCATTGGCTGAGACGAGGGCTGCCGTTTGTGACAGACAGACCGACTAAACCAGAGCAAGAGAGAGAGAGACAAGAGAGAGAGCCTGTATTGAGAGAGAGAGAGAGAGAGAGAGAGGGAGAGAAAGACGCGAGAGGGGGCCGGGGGGATGGGTCAGCTATCGCTCACAAGTGTGTGGGGATTGGCCGCGCAGTGCGGTAGTCACGGCACGGCAATGGTGCATTGCTCGCTGACGGACGGACAGAAAGGGGAGGGGTGGTGAGGGGGCTTCGGGTGCATGTGGATGGCCGCTCTGCGTGCGTGTGTGTGTGTGTGTGAGAGAGCGTGTGTGGCTTTCTCTACGTGCCTGCCTGCCTGCGAGGTATATTTGGGTATTTTTGAGGCACCACCACCCACAGTCATGATGTACCCATCCATCCATCCATCCATCATGAGTGTGTGTCTGAGTGGGTGGGTGTGTGTCGGCCTGCCAATGGCACATGGCACCAACGACCGACGAATCGATGACCTGCATGACCCGCTGCTATCTGCTACCTGCTGAGTTTGTATATAGAGATCATGATGATACCATCTTCCTTTCTTCCTTCCTCCCTCTCGACCTTCCGACCTTTCTGTACATGTATACTTTTCCGTCTCACCTCAACTCAACTCACCTCAACTCGTCTACATGCTCCTGCATTGCACGCACAACGGTCTTGTGTTAAAGACATCATCCATGCCTTTCATCTTTACGGCATTGATTCCATTCCATTCCATTTTCCCTACTGACTCGGTGCGTGCCAAGTGAGATCACTGCCTTCGGCACGCCACTTCGGGCGGTACATGCATTCGCAAACGAGTTGTTGAGGTGTCTGTCGGCCGGGACATTTTTCGGACACGAACGCATCGTTGAAAGAGTGCACCGACTCGATGATGGAGGAGGGACGGACGTGCTGCCATATGAATGACTCGTGAACGAATTCGACGGTGAGACGACTACTGGCTGATCCACTTGTTTACGTGACAGACAGACAGACAGGCAGACGGACAGGCAGGGAGGCAGGCAGAGCACTTGCTTGACAGGACAGCCAAGAGAGAGATAACCACAGATGTCCTGTCCTGTGTGGAGGAAAGAATTGAGGGATGTCCCGTCCCTCGCTTGCTGCCGCTACCTGCACCCTGCCCCAACGCAACACAGCACAGCACAGCACGTCATAGCGCACTCTTTCAGGAGAGAGAATTGCCCTTTCTCGCACAGACCAGTGGGTGTGTCGGTTCAGTGAGCCTGCATGCCCGTCCTTCTGTTTTCCCGTGTCTATCGATGTGTGTCGTCCACCCAGCGGCTCGAGTTCACGGGCCAATCTTCCGGCCGAGCGGTGTTTCGCTCTCCTGCAGACTGGTCGCGCGAGTCCCTGGGCGGGGGGGATGCAACGGGCAATTGAAATGACACGACATCCGGGCGTGCATGGCTGTGCTGACTCAGCCGGGGCATTTTTCTCTTCTCGTGTGCGTGGGCGTCACTGTCCCTTTCCATTCCATGTAAGCTTATCTTGTGAGTGTACTTGTCTGTCTATCACACGATCGATGTGCAAACACATGCCACTCGTTTATCATATTGATCTGATCACATCACCCACTCCTCAGGCAATGTAACATAGACACGCCCCATTCACTCACTGCCTTACCTTCGACTCGACTGCCTGACTGAGTGAATGACTGGCTCGTGATGTTTTCTCCCACCGGTTGTGTGCCGGTGCGCTGCGTCTGTTGGGTATCGCTTGTTGCGCACTATTGCATCGATTGCACCATGGTTGCTTTCCTAGCCTTTTCCTAGTGCCGTTGATTGACTAATCATGGGAGGGAGGGACGGAAGACAGACCGGTCGGCCGGTCGGTCTCTCTGGCCCATCGTGTGGTGTCCCCTCGTCAGCGAGGCGACATTGCAGATGGGGGACTTTTCCCGTTGTGATGTGTGTTGCGGCGCGGTGTATATTCTGGTCACTCAACGGTCGGTCGAATTGGTGGGCGAGAGGCATCACTGGCCGACACAACCAAGGGCACTTTTCCCACTCACCCACCCGATGCCCGCTGCATGGAGACAGAGACAGAGAGAGAGAGAGAGAGAGAGAGAAAAGAGAGGGAGGAACGAGTGCTTTCCAGCGACTTTGTAAAGGTTTTTCCTTCACTGTCTGATGGATGGATGGATGGCTGCGTGTGATGTGAGGGGCCCTGTCCACGTCAGTGAGCGAGCATGCACCTATGGCGCGGGTGTCCGGGTGTGAGCGAGTGCCTCTGCTGTGGTCGTTTCGATGAGCAGAAGGCATCACCATGGGAGCTGGGTGATGGAGGGGAGGGGACGCCGATTGTTTCTCGTACTTGTCCTGTGCTGCGAGTGTCCCGTCCCCATCTAGGAAGGCAGCTAGAAAGCGGCCGCACACTCCATATGGTGGCAGTGCTGCTATGTGCCGCCCTCACTCTCTTGTCGAGTCAAGGCTGGCTGCCCGTGGATGCATGCTGTTTGAACGAAGAGAGCACTCTTTTGGCTTGGTATGAAAAGCACGCAAGTGACCCCGTCTGCCTGCCTGCCTGCCTGCCTGGATACGTCCATGAGAGTGATATATACGAGCACGGTACACACCCTCACTCGCTTTACCGCTGCCTTCGGCAGCCTTTTCGAACGGGTCCGCGACCCTTCTCTGCCCGCCGACAGACAGGCTCGCAGAGGATGGTCTCGTGGGCGGTGTTGAGAGGCTGCCAAGGCGATGGGTATCGTGCGGGTGCATGAGTGGTGGGGGGTGGCAGGGCGGCTCCTTGATCGGTGCGTGCCTTTGAACGATGTCGTTTTAACCGCACAGAGGCAGCCACGGTGCCTTGGTGCTTACATACGAACAGAGAGCGAGCCGCGTGCTCATAAGCAAGCCTGTGTGTGTGTGTGTGTGTGTGTGTCTCAGTGAGCTGCTTGAGGGTCCGGCTTTGAAGGCTGGCTGGCTGCTGAGTGAGTGAGTGGATGGATGGATGTGTGGCGCTGCGGCGGTGTCTGTGTGGGTGACGGATGGGTGTGTGTGCGCGAGTGAGGTTTCAATATATGGCCGCGCACACCGACTAGGGATGCATGTCGGAGGGGCATATCCACACGTACACACACGCAACTAAGCGACTAGAGAGGGGAGAGGGGAGAGCGGAGGAGGTCTATTGCTTGGGGGCTGGGGTGGGTCACTGCACAAAGACAAGCTGGTACTGGACTGCTGCCGCCCGCTAGGGTGCCGCATTTTTCTCAGCTTGCCTTCCTTGTCTCCCTCTCTCTTCGTGTGTGTGATGCCTGCGTGTTGGGGAGCTTCCGTCCTGTCTGCAGCCAGACCGCCACCGGAGAAACAACACACTTGTCTCGGCTTTGGCTTGGCGGTCTGGCTGAACAGAAAGGACGTGAATGAGTGGTGGGGATGGGGATGAGATGTTTTAGAAAGGTCAGTCACTCCTAACGCTCATGACTTGGGGGCAACACAACCTAACCTGCTATAATCTATTCCGACCTGGTACACAGACATGTGGTGCCGCATTGTTATCTTATTGCTGCTGGTTTGATGTGATGGCGTTGACCGATGGCTCTCGTGGGTTAACATGGCAGGCAGGCATACGGACGGACACAAAGCGTGTTCTAAGTGCGGATGTGCGTACTGCCTGGCTGTCCGATTATTCGTTCCGATTGTTGTGACCTTGCACTGCACGACCGTACACGCACACGCCCTGTCCGACTGTAAGGTTCGAATTCGCCTTTTGGGCCTCCTCCTTGTGCACCGATTGCTTCTCACTGCGCATCTCTGGCTGGCTGGCCGGCTGTCCTCTGATTTGTTTGTAAATAAGCGAGCGAGGGCGGGAGGGCGGCGGTGGGAGGGGTGATCATGAGAGGGGTGTGTGGGAGGAAGGAGAGAGGAGAGGCAGCCAGCCGCTGTTTGATGGTATGAGCGGAGACAGTGGATGGATGGACCTGGTCAGTGTGCATCACACACATGATTGCCAACCACTGCGGATTGGGCATTTTCCGAATGTGCGCGCGTCGTTGAAAGCACAGCAGCTGCGTTCTGAGGATCCTCAATCGCCACATACGTACATCAAATTGAGCGGTTCTGCGAAATTCCCGCATTTGTGCATTGCGTACAAACGCCTCTTTGTCTCGCTGCACTGGCGCAACGAGACACAGAACAATGACGGACTCAGACCAAAGCACTATTGAGACACGAAGGCACATTGTCACTGAGTGCATTGTGACTGCTCATCCTGCATGCCTTTGTGAACAGCCTTGCCGTGCCGGGGGCCTTCTGCTTCGCGAGCATCTGCACCGCCAGATCAACATCCACACCGCTGCTCCAATTTGGCGCAGCAGCTGCAGAGGGAAAAGACGCGGACAGAGACGTCAATGCAGACAGGCATGAGCCAGTCAAGATCCTCGTGCAGTTTTGGCGTGCCCATGCGTCACCCCCCTTCATCCAGCCCTCAGCGGTGGTCGCGGCTGTTTGTCGCCGAGGGCTGTCGTCATCCGTACTGAGGACCAGTTCCTCGGGACCTCAGTCCGATTGGAATGTAACGGGCTCTGAACCGATGCGTCATCCTGCGCGTGGGGAGAGTTCAAGTTTGAAGTTCAACCTTGTCAAGTTGCTCCGCCGTGGAGACTGAACCCCCAGGAAGCCCCCAGTCGAATTCTTCGAAGATGCTGACCACGGAGCTCACCGCCGCCCAACCGCAACACGACGTTGAACACGTCATGAAAGTTAGCGATGAACCAGCAGATATTCTCAGCGGCGAGGCGCATGTCATTGACCCAGAGAGCACAGGCGCCACTGGGACCAACGACGTGACCTGCGGCCTGCCTACAGAAACCTACTCAGAAGAGGGGGTTGTCTATCATGGGGACGGAGAAAAAGACGAGAGAGCGCTGCGCAAAGAGGAGCTCGAGCTCGAAGAAAAGGTGAATGAATTTCGAGCATGCGCGGGACATGCAGCCTCCTTTCAGGAGTTCCAAACTGACTTGCGATATGAAGGAGGCTCATTTGTTGGTGCGGTCTTCACTCCTGAGCCGCTCTGCACGACTGCAAGAAGAGTCACAAAGGTAATCATTCGCAGAATGTCGCAGTCCTTCCACGTCTGTCACTTTCCAGGTACTCTTATACCACGTAATTGCAGCCGTCGGCTTTGCAGTCTGTTGGGCCCCGGTGTGGCTGGCGTACTGGTCGGCGTGCGAGAAGATGAGCGCGAGAGCAGCAGGGATAGTCCTCGATATAACTCGCCGCATCATCGTTGCCCTATGCTATATGGCTATGATACTACTTCTGGCTGAGGGCAGCACAATTGGGGCTGTCCGCCGCTTGAGGACGACCTGGTATTTCTTCCTTCCTGGGCTTGCCCCATACGTGGATTTTGCACTTTTCCACCACGTCGAGGCCCTGCGGAAACGCCACAAATATGCGCCGCTCATGCATTACCCCTGCACGCTGCTCGTACCCCTCATGTGAGAAAAGAATTGTGACAGTAAGCAAATATTCTCTGTCGTTGTGCCTGTCCTGTCAGGGTCTTTCGCCAAGTGGCTCTATCTTCGAAGATAATCATCAGGAAGCGGGCGTATATTCTCAAGACATGGGGCATATGTGTAGTGGTCATCTGTTTTTCGTTTGCCGTACCCCTCTACTTCATGCCTCTTGCCCGGACTGCAACAACAGATCGCGAGAAGACAGGCGTCATCTTTATTTTCCTGCTCGTGGTGTCGCCCGTTGTTGCGACGCGTAAGAATTGCGACTCGATCGATGGACACATTCGCATGTTTCCATGCGTATTCGGTCTGTGTTTCAGTCACAGCCATCGTTCGTTCTCTGAAGGACGGCCCTGCCCTGCAAACGTCTCCAGCAATCACGTTTGTAGCGTTCGGCTTCGCACTCTTCGCAAGGATCGTCCAGGCCGAGATGGAATATATCTCCTCTCAGGTAGGTGGGCACATCGACGCTGTCCTCGCGTCAGATCCATTCCTCGTCCTTCCTGGACATGTCTCTCCTTATCAGCTTCTGTGGAGCTTGGTCTTTGCATCATTCGACTTCGTCACCGACCTAGCCATGCCGTATTTCGTTCTCATAGGTGGTGCCGCGAGAAGAAGTCTGGTGCGATTCCTATGCAGGCCGGTACGAGATCGGCACTTCGACACTGTCACTGCTGAAGATACTCAGGAAACGCGCGATAAACAGACGCCGGTCATGCTACTCAGCCGCCATTCTACGACCATGATGAGTTTCAAGTCGGCCGGTCGCTGTTCCATGAGATCTTTGAGCACGTTTCTGGACGTCCCCACTCGGGTTGTTCAATTTGGCTATCACCCGATATTCCTTCAGCGTCTCAGCGATGTGAGGAAGGAAAGCGACAGACAAGAAAATCCATCCATTCTTCACTTTTTGCTTCCACTGCTGCAGCAAATGCATGCCTACAGCTTGATTGAGTTAACAGTGCTCATCTTCAGCAACCTGCTCAAAATCACTGTCGGCCAGATCCTCTTTCCATTCGTCCGTCACTTGCTAGAGAGGCCAGTAGGTCTGGGAATCATGGTGCTGATCGAAGTCTTCTTCGAGGGTGCGCTCTACATCTGCCTCGTGCGCTCTGCCAACTTGCCCCTGATTAAGAGCATAACCGAGCCCGGCGTTATCAGGATGCACTTGCTGGCACTGGGCATCGGCGGCACTCTTAACATGCTTCGCAATCTGCCAGTCCCTATACTGATGCTCTTGACCGACGCTGATGAGAACAAGTATCAGTCAGTAAGCACATACGAATTTTGTCCTTTTCATTCAAGTATGTTTGAGGTGCGATGACCTATCTGTGTGGACGATTGATTGATTTGCGGATGGAGACAGGAACACACGATATCAAAAATCAATATCAAGGGACACTAAGTTGATTTTTGATTCACAATTCACACCGACAATTGTCGTGTCGTACATGCTCTTTGGGGGGATGGATGGATAGATGGATAGATGGATGGATGGACCAAGACAGGCATATACAGACCAATTATTGACCCTCAAGATGCGAGGAAGGTCCAACCCGAAGTTTGGACCTTCGTCTGCTTCCACGCCACAGACACCAAGAGGAAGAGCATACCAGTCAGCCTAGGTGTGTCAGGTATGGTTCGGCGTCAAACATACGCAATTGAACATACGTACACAAATTGATGTAAAAAAGGAAAATATCGTTTGTCCGTATACGCATCATTTGGCCCAACGAGTCACGCAAGAAGAGTGCCGTGCACCGAAATGCCGATTTGAAAATTGCCGACCCCAAGGTACAGGAGGCGGTCGGAGGGTATAAACAGACAGACGGCATGCACTTGGCTGGCCCGCCGTGACCACAAACGTACCACATCAAATTGAGCGCTTCCATTTGTACATTGCGCACAAACGCCTCGTGTCTCGCTGCAACGATACACTGTCGAGCAACGAGACACACTTAAAGACGGACCCAGACCAAATCAAGTTAGAGACACGAAGCAACACAGTCACTGAGTGCATGCGAAGCGTCCTTAAGTGCCTACGTCATTTCACCGGTTGGCTTCCATGACAGGAGACGCGAGGCCCTGTGACATGAAAGACATGCCAAGTCGCTCCAGCCTCGCGGCCGATTTAGTAATTGCACAGGCGATATACAGGGCTTTGTTTTGTCTGTTCGGTTGAAAGACAGAGTACATCGTTACGGTACGTGTGTTGGTACCGGTTCTGTACGTACAGTACGGTGTGTGAGTGTATGGGATCGTTCGGCCGATCCCGAGTTCTTTACCAATCACAAACACACGATCGACCGATCAGTCGACTGATTGACTCATCCTCTCAACCATCCGTCCGTCTCTTCCTCCCTCTTCCCTTCTCCCGGGCTGTCTATACATCGATCGACAGCGGCACAAGTTTGTCTGTCTGTCTGTTTGCCTCGCTCATGCTCACATCGACCACACATGCAACGACACACACAACGTACGTACGTATACTGCACACATGCATCGATATTAAATCCGACCGACTCACCGTACCATGAACAGACGTCACGTCGATCGGATCAACAGACGCAACGCTCGAGCAGACAGATATACATGTATATACTTAGACGTACGGTACAGACGTACAGATGTATGCATATATATGTGTACAGATCGATATCGATGACCCTCACACACGTTAGTCAGTCAACGTTTGCACGGATCGGACGGATGTCTGTGTACGTGTACGTATGTATGTCTCATCTACCTACCTTCCTACCTACTCATCATTCACCAAATAAAGGCATGAATCTTGATCCCGGCCTACGCAGCAATGAAACGACCGAGTAGATGGCTAGAGATGCACTCATTGACCGACCGATGTATAGTATAGAGATAGACAGACAGACAGACACCCACATGTACAGTACAGACACACAACATAGTTTAGCTAATGGGGAGTCTTGGCCCAGTAGATAAGGTATACAGTCAGTATTCGTCCTTCCAGGTCATCAGAAACCGTGTGCAAGGTGCAACCTGGTGAAAGGTGCAACCTCATCAAGACTTGAGTACTGACTGTAGACCTTTACCGTAACCGATTCTGTAAAGTGCGGACGCCCATCGCCTCGCTATTCCTCCTTTCCACAAGTTAGCAAAAAACCCATGGACACAGAGAGAGAGGGAGAGACAACCGATGAGTGCAGGGGGTGGATGGATGTGTGTGGGGGTGTTGCGTGTGATGCACACACAGAGAGAACACACACAGACTCAGACAGACACACTCAGGCTCGGCTCGGCCCTTCGGTCCTCGCCTTCGCACAGCATACAAACAGACACACACACCATGACTTGGTTCGGCTCGGCTCGGCTCGGCTCGGCCCTTCGGGCCTCGCCTTCCCATCAACAGCAACACAAATTATCCACTCATCCATCCATCCCAGCAGCGCAGCAGACCACATATGGCTGACCTACATGACCTACCCTTGCCTTGCGGGGAACACAAGTGGGGTCAAAACAACGCATAGCCCAGTGGGAGTGTGTGCCCTGCAACGCTACGCTACGCAACGCGGCCAATGAAGTGTGCATCAGTCAAGGCCCTCGGGCAGGCAGGTCGTGTGTACATACGCCTCTCTTCCTCTCTCTGTCTGAGACAGCCCCCAAAAAACTCAGCCATCCAGCCATCCACGAAGCACCAACACACGGTCAGACAGACAGACAGACAGACAGCCAGACAGACAGCCAGGGCACCGCACCCCAAACATGAATGTCACTCAGTCAGTCAGTCGCTCTATCACTGGTGGGGCTTGACGTTTGCCGCCGGTCTTGCTTTGCTGCACACCAGCCGGAAGCCGAGGGGCGATTCAGAGCACGGCGAAGTGCCTGCTCCTCTGCCCACACACATACACACATCACATTAATTACGCACATCAGACATAAGGAATTTCACCTTGTGTCTTTTCTCTGCTTACTTGTTCCGACGAAGGCAGCTAGCGCAGTGAGTGGGCACCTGCGAGTAGTGGTGACCATGTAGATCGAGCATGTAGACGTGTGCTTCCCCTCTGGTGCCACTCACTCACGGCCCTCCGCCGTCTGACTCGCACACCATGTCCGTCTGCATGACACCGCCAGAGGCCTCAGGCCCCTGAACGACCACTTTCGGGTGACTGACGTGACGAAGTGCCCTCGTCCTCGCGGCGGCTGCTGTGCTGCACGTGCGGCAGCTTCCGCTTAATTGCCGGAGGTTTTTCTGGTTGCTTGTGTCGGCGGGGATGCACAGGGCCTGCCAGACGGCCGAGGGAAGGGCGGTCGTTGAAGTGTTGTGGTCGTCAAGCAGTGTCGGACGGATAGCGGCATGGGTGCCCCGAGCGGAGCGCCGAATGGCTGCGGCTGCCCCGACTCGCACTCCAAGTCAACGGCCATGACGGCGGCGAAATTGTCGGTCGGACTGCCCGCCCCGCCTCCCACATCGAGCGGAAGCAGCGGCTGCTCTGCGAACCCACCGAAGTCAGCCGGTCACCGAGGTTCCCAGCAGCCCTCCAAACTCGTAAATGTCCTACTAACGGTTTTGTACAGTGTGGAATGATGCAGACCGCCTTGTTGTTGGCATGCTGGTGGGTGCCGCTGCCTATCCGGGCCCACAAAGGTACACACACAGGCACTCAAGCTGCCCTTGCTGACCCTATTTTGTGCTGACCTTTCTCTCTTGCTCAGGTGCCCGCATTCCATCGGTGAAGAGGGTGCCGCACAACGCGACGGAGGCAAGGGCAAGGCGGTCTATCGATCTCACACAGTTGGCAGAGTGAACACCAGCCACTGAAATGACATCCATCTAGTGGATCCATCAGAGTACAAAGTACGTATCCATCCATCTGACAGGCATCTGGGTCTTGAGTTGGACAAGGATGAGCCAGCCGGCGAGGGGGAGCATCATCCCAAGGACAAGAACAAGACGGGCAGAGATTCAGATCGTCATGACGGCTGGACCCTGTTCAAAGACGAGCTCAAAGTGGCGCCAATCAGGGGCACAGAGAACGTCTTACGTACGTCTGCGCACCACATGCACAGAGAGAGCAGCATAAGCAACCACACACATGACTTGCGCATCCATCTATCCTTTCATTCCTGTCCCATGAGTGCAGCCAAGCCATCCCCCGGTCCGGTGGCCATCGTCAGCAGCCTTGACCTGGAGAGCTCCATTCGCATGTTCGGCATTCTGGCCACACCCGCCAGCCCAGCGGGCGCAGTGGGGCCAAAGAGCATACTCACCGCCACCAACACCGGACTCGTATTGCAAACGCCCAAACACGGCAAACTGGTCAGTCTGTGTGTGTCTTGTGGATGGATGGTCTATGTATGTATGTATGTATGTGAATGATCGCTATGGATTGATGCAGATAGCCGCTGAGCGTCCGCGTGAGTTTTTCCTGCCGGTGATAGTGGGTGACGGCCGCAAGTCCCCCTTAGACGTGCGAGGGGAGCTGGAGGAAGTGGCCATTTTCTTCTCGCCCGTCGCCCACTATGACACCGGTAGCAGCCGCTTCTTGGTCGGGTATCTACTCAACCAGTGCGAGCAGGTCTTCGCCATCTCTCGCACGTCTTCGCCAAAGTCATTCACGACAAAGGACTGGGCCTTTGCAAGATTCCCGGTCAGCGCAGTGCGTGCTTGAGTGAGTCCACACAGCCCACACGATGGCGGGCAGGCAGGCAGGAATGTCTGTCTGTCTGTCTGTCTGTTTGCGTCTCGTCTGAATGAATGGATGTGGTGAATCAGATCGACGACCGCGAGCCGAGCACGATTTTCGAGAGTGCGATAGAGGCTTTCAGACCGCCGGTGAACCGCACCATTACGAGTCAGGTCCTCTCCCAGGTCCTGGCGACGGTGTTCGGCTTTGGAGACGACTCAGGCGAGTGCAACCCGACTTTCTTCCTCTCGCACAACACACTCGGCGTCTCGCCCACACTCATCGGATTCGCCTACAATGCCTTCGCCAGCTTCGGTTGGTGCCACATACACAGTGGACCCGACCATATGTGTACGTGTGCGTGCTCCCTCTCTCTCTGCGTGTGTGTGCTTGTGTGTGTATGTGTTTCCGTGCAGACTCGAGTGTGTTGCTCGGCAGCCGCAGCATCTTCTCAAACGTGGACGAGGTATCTGAGTTTGAGGCCTTCTTCTCAGGTCAGGGCTCTACACTGCCCACATGCCGGACGGACGGACGGACGGACACCGTGCCTGGCTATGTGTGTGCAGCGGGCGAGGCCTCCCCATCCGACATCCTCACTCCCGGGATAGCCGCGGAGCCCGGTCCGATCGGTCTCGATGACCTCGATGACAAAGCCATTGAAATTGTGGACACCGCCGCGTCGATCGCGCTCGCCCCGTACGTGCAAGCTCCAGAAGACACAGAGGTGCTGCTGGGGTCCTCCGGAAACGAGCTGTTCGCGAGTTTCGACACGTCGGGCGATGAGCAAGACGAGCCATCGCTGCTACAGACGTCTGCGGCCGACCTCGCGGGATCATTCCTTCACTCTTTCACCAACAGAGGGCCAGGTGAGGGGTGCACAGTCATGGTCTCATGCATTGTATTACCCCCTCCCCCCATCCCCCCCTCCCCCAACACGCCACACAAACAGCTTCTGGCGGTGTGGGGTTCAACACGCCTCTGAACGGCGTCTTCACGCCTATCACGGCCTTCAGCCTGGAGACGTTCTATAATAATAACAACATCGCGCGTCAGGGGTCCTTCGAGCGCATCGCCGACCCCAATCAGACGTTCGGTGAAGGATTGTGCCATTGGATGGATGGATGGATGTGACTGGTGTGGCTGGTCATGCAGGCTTGGAGAACTCCGCTGCCACAGACTTCGACGCGTTTGACGGCGTGCAGGCGCTCTTCGTGCTCAAGCAGCTGCTTCTGGGCTCACTGCAGAGCGGCGTAGTGATCCTCGGACCGGACACATACTTCCCAGTAATACATGAGGGTCTGGCCCGACTTCGCTCGTCGTGTGTTGTGTGTTGAGAGCAGTCGGTGCAGTTTGACGAGCCTGATGAGGAGACAGCGGGCAGCCAGCTGGGGGGGTTCCAGATCAATCTCGGAGACGACATCCTTGAGGTAGACCTATACGTGTATGATGGTGCACCGATCGCAGACACACACATATATGCTCAGCTCTGCTTCATATGTGTGTGTGACTCACTCAGTCCTGCCGTCAGACTGCGAAGCTGGTGGTGTGCGCATGGACAGGATTCAGAACAATCAAAGACGCAAGCCTCGGTACTCACGAGTCTGTCTGTCTGTCTGTCTGTGTCACGTGTATGTGTGTCTCCGTCCGCCGGTACCTACATACATACAGACAAGCGTCGGCAGCAGGCGTTCGTAGCGTACGCGCAGCTCGACGTGTTCACCCTCTTCTCCCGTGCCTTTGACGCCCTGGTCATCCCCCCACCGCAGAAAAGCCTCACCCCCATTGTGGTCCCTTCGCGACTGACACGAGCTATACTGGTGCGCATGGTCTGTATGTCTCTCTCTGTCTGAATATATGTTTGTATGTTTGTATGTTTGTATGTGCGATCCGCCTTGGTTGATTGGATGCATTGCAGCCGCCCAAGGGGTGGGACTTCTCATATCCCTCCGTGGCAGCGACGCCCCAGGGTGATGTGCTCATCGGGTTCCAGGCCTTCGACAGGGCGGGCTTCCCATCGGCCGCGTACGTCTTTAAACCAGCAGACTGCCCAGACTTTGACACTCCCGTCATCTATAAGGTCCGGAGGGGGGTCGGTGAGGTCACGTCACGCTTTGCCTGCCTGGCTTTTGGTCTGTGTGTAAGCAGGCTGGTGAGGCGCCCTACTTCCGTCCAGTGCAGCAGGATGAGAAGACCGACAAGCCGCGGGTATCATCATGGTACGTACGCACGTAGCCGACACCGGCTCAATGATGGCTGACTGACATGTTCACCCACCACCCAACCCACACCCTCACCCACGTCTGTCTACAGGGGGTTCGGTTCGTCCACTGTCAACGATCCCCTCGACCTGCAGTGCCTCTGGACACTCCAGGCACGCACACACACACACACACGAACACACTCCTCTGCGCCATCTACGCCACGTTTGTGTCCATCTCTGTCTGTCTGTCTGTCTGTCTGTCGCTGTGTTCGCTACGGCTGCAGCCGTACGCCAAAGTGCCAGGTCTTCTAACGAATGGCGCGTTTTTTCCGCCGGGATTCGGCAACTGGGGGCTCGCATGGGCCAAGGTACGGTCTTCACAGCAGACAGATAGACAGGCAGGCAGGCACGCAGGTGGCCCCGCTATCGATCGATCGATGCTTTGTTGACCGATCGGTTCGTGTTGCGGCTGGGGTGGATGGGATGGCCATACCGCACCCATGTATCTCTCAGGTGTGCGTGCCCCCTGGCGCTTTCGTGACGCGGCGCCGGCTGAAGCGCGAGGAGGCCGTCCGACGGCGGCGACAGCTCAAGAGAGCAGCAAACAAGAGGAACAAGAGCAGCGAGAAAAGAGGCAAGGGGGAGGAGGCTGGCGGGGCAGCCAACACGGCAACAAGAAAGAGAAGGAGGAAGGTGGTCAAGAGGTCGGTAGGGAGTGCGGGCCCCCCACCGCTGGACAGCGATGAGTGGCTGGCGGCCCAGTTTGCGAGGCTGCTGGGTGGAGAGAATGGGCGGCTGGGGCTGCAGGCCGTGCTGGGCAGCAAGAGGGTGGGACAGATAGAAGAGTTCCTGCAGCGAAAGACCATGTAGCGAGCTCAGCTGGGCGTGTTGGTTGACGTGCTGTGTGCACACACGCATCGGATGAAGCACTAGTAGGTCATCTGACTGTCTGTCTCAGATGTATTTGTCCGTCTGGCTGCACATCTACATTACACTAAGCTAAATTATGCTGTGTGTCTGTACTGTACATGTGGGTGTCTGTAGTATGTGTGTGCATCCCATAGGCCCCCCCACACACGCCTCCACCCTCGGCACTCACTCGATTCTCTCTCTCTCATTCTCTCTCTCTCTGTGTGTGTCCATGGGTTTTTTGCTAACTTGGCGATGCCGTGTAGGCTTGAGTACTGACTGTAGACCTTTACCGTAACCGATTCTGTAAAGTGCGGACGCCCATCGCCTCGCTATTCCTCCTTTCCACCAGGTTGCACCTTTCACCACTTCAACGCACTCACCCCATCGATACCCCCCGTGCCGCATACCCACTTCTCACACACGCAAGGCCAGCCGCTCAAACTCACCACACAGACAGCCCATCACACCAACAGTCATTCCCGGCCTCCCAGCCCCCTGCGCTGGACACTCGTCGAGTTGTGTGTGCGCGAATGTCTGGGTGCGTCTGCCGCCCACTGCTGCACACGCGCATTCACGGAATTCGCAAACCCCCCGACTCACTAGGACTCAGATGAACACGGCAGCAGCCTTCATGGGCACTTAATTGCAATGGGAAAAACCTCCCAGCCCCGCGGTCGCCTGCAGGGTTTCAAGCCCTGCGAGCTTAGACGTGATGCATGGGGGGAAAGGCACAGACTGCACAAACCGCGGCAGATCTCTGCAGAGAGACTCACAGGAAGGCCACACACTCAGTCAGTCAGGAGAGCTCTCTAAGGTCGCTCAAATCTCTGCCGCTGATTGATGCGCCTTTGTGTCTGTCTGTCTGTCTGTGTTGTGTGTGTCAGAGATGGGCGTGTTAGATGCGCCAAGACCCCGAGGCTCGCTTTACGATGGAGTGCGAGTCGGGGCAGCCGCAGCCATTCGGCGCTCCGCTCGGGGCACCCATGCAGCTATCCGTCCGACACTGCTTGACGACCACAACACTTCAACGACCGCCCTTCCCTCGGCCGTCTGGCAGGCCCTGTGCATCCCCGCCGACACAAGCAACCAGAAAAACCTCCGGCAATTAAGCGGAAGCTGCCGCACGTGCAGCACAGCAGCCGCCGCGAGGACGAGCGGCACTTCGTCACGTCAGTCACCCGAAAGTGGTCGTTCAGGGGCCTGAGGCCTCTGGCGGTGTCATGCAGACGGACATGGTGTGCGAGTCAGACGGCGGAGGGCCGTGAGTGAGTGGCACCAGAGGGGAAGCACACGTCTACATGCTCGATCTACATGGTCACCACTACTCGCAGGTGCCCACTCACTGCGCTAGCTGCCTTCGTCGGAACAAGTAAGCAGAGAAAAGACACAAGGTGAAATTCCTTATGTCTGATGTGCGTAATTAATGTGATGTGTGTATGTGTGTGGGCAGAGGAGCAGGCACTTCGCCGTGCTCTGAATCGCCCCTCGGCTTCCGGCTGGTGTGCAGCAAAGCAAGACCGGCGGCAAACGTCAAGCCCCACCAGTGATAGAGCGACTGACTGACTGAGTGACATTCATGTGTTTGGGGTGCGGTGCCCTGGCTGTCTGTCTGGCTGTCTGTCTGTCTGTCTGACCGTGTGTTGGTGCTTCGTGGATGGCTGGATGGCTGAGTTTTTTTGGGGGCTGTCTCAGACAGAGAGAGGAAGAGAGGCGTATGTACACACGACCTGCCTGCCCGAGGGCCTTGACTGATGCACACTTCATTGGCCGCGTTGCGTAGCGTAGCGTTGCAGGGCACACACTCCCACTGGGCTATGCGTTGTTTTGACCCCACTTGTGTTCCCCGCAAGGCAAGGGTAGGTCATGTAGGTCAGCCATATGTGGTCTGCTGCGCTGATGGGATGGATGGATGAGTGGATAATTTGTGTGTCGTCGTCTGCCTCTGTCTGGCTCAGCAAGTGTCTGTGGCGATGACAAAGGCCGCTCTCCATAGGCCGGTCCATCCGTCTGTCTGTCTGTCTGTCTAGCCGCGCTGGACAGCAGGCGCTTTTATCAAATCAGTGAGGGATAAGGTGACGTGGGGTCGGTGTGCGATGCGATGACATTGATTCATACGTGTCTGCACCGCAAAATGCAATGTGACACTCTCAAGCATAGGCATGCTATGCTGCACGGAACAAACAAAAGACGATAGATACACTACACTGAGTCGTGAACATCAGTGCAATGCCTCTGCGTGCCTATGCTATGTCTGCACTGGCCCGATGGCCAATGCAGATCTGAGCTGGAGCCAGGAGTCAGGCAAGTCGGTCTCTCACTTCTCTCTCCTGGACCTTTGCCTTTATCGTCGTCAACCGCCCGTCTCGTTGTCCATCTCCGTCTGCCTTCTGTCTCTCTGTGGATTCATCTGCTTGATGGAAAATCATGACTGGGTTGTCTCGCAATTGGTTACTGCAGTACTTGTTCATCTGACACATTCTTGTCTTCAAAGAGCTTGAGGGCTGCAGGCGTCGAAAGAGACACAAAGGGTGATTGTGTCCTTTCCGTTGGCAGGGTGAAACCGTTTCTATCTCGCCTGCCATGACGCCGCCGCCATGACGTGTTGTGTGTCTTGTGTGCATGTGTGAGGCGGGAAATTTGCACCCGATACGTACTTACTTAACATGGAGCTGCACGCTCATCGTGGCTAAATTAGTTGACCAGTCCCCCGCCCGCCCACCCGCCCGACAGTCGACCACATGCATACCATACGGACAGCCGGCCAACTCCACCTAGTGTGTGTTAAAACTTACGCAAGCAGAAACGAAAACCTCGCTGTACATTACATTCTGTGGGGATGCATGAAAATAATAATGTGTGCGTGTGTGGAAAAGGAGAAAAAAAGGAAGTGGTTCGTTGGTTCTGGCCGGCCGCCACGAGAGCCCAACACAGACAGCTCATCAGAGATATAAGAGATAGAAGAGGGCTACGAACCTGCACACACATCACACCAGACACATCACGCCACACCGCATCGCACCACGCCAATGGCATGCACACACTTATTGCACTGGCGTGTGGCGGCATTCACTCCATGTGCGTACCCTCGTGCGCTCACCGTGCGTGGGAAAGTTGCTGTCGTTTCGCCTCTCTACATTTTGAGGCATTCGGCAGGCCAGGCGTTCTTAACCGATAGCTCTTTGGCGGTGACCAGCCTCTTGACGGTCGTCTTGGTCTGCATGGGAACATACACACACACACACACACACACACACATACACACACACACACACACAGAGAGAGAGAGAGAGAGAGAGATATGTACGCAAACATTTGGCACAAATGATCAACTGCTGTGTGTGTGAAAGTGAGCGTATCTCCGTGGATCCTTCGTCCTCTCCATCTCCTACGATGATTGGACGCATTTTCTTGGAGGTGCTGTCGTTGGACGAAGCATACGCCATCACGGCATCGAAAATGCACACCTTTGAGCCCGTCTTCGGCTCTGTGTCAGGGCAGAAGACGTCCTTGGTGCACACAAGTGGATATGCATAAAGACAGTCATACGGCAAAGGTGTGTGCGTGCGTGCGTGTGTGAGTGAGTGTAGGAGTGCGTACTACGAGCTCGCCGCCGTTGTTTTCGTCTTTCGACAGCCAGGCCTTCGTACTATCGCCGCCATACAGATAGCACACCCTTCATGATGGATGGCAAACGCATTACAGAAGAGCATCCGACATCCAGCTGCGCGGCTCCCACTTCTGCCTACGCTGCGACGGTAGTGGCTGCGGTTTCGAGTTGAAATTCCTGGTTGATGGCGCAGTCAGCTCCAATGCAGGCCTCTGCAGCATTGCACACCGGCCAACACATGGAGATCTCTCATCTGGCGGGATGATTGGTTCCCCTGACACGTCGTCCTCCACAGATCTACAGATCCATCCATCCCCTCATTCACTTTCGTCCTCCGCGTAGAGATTCTCGCCGTCGGTGAGCGGAAGGGTCAGCACCCAGATCACCAACACACCCAACAAACCCACCGTCAACATCCGATTAGCCGACGCCATCTTCCGTTGCAGAATGAACTCGCCTGCAGCACGCGAACACACACACGCACACACGTGGATGGAATAGATGGATTGGATGGAGCGCGTTGGTACCTAAGCCTCGCTCTGGTTGGTTCGGGGGCGGCCGTGCAACGGATTGTAAATTGGTGAATCTTGAATCTTTGTAAATTCCCACGGCCGAGACGATGGATCGTCTCCGCCTGGGTGCGCAGCTCCCGAGAACCTAAGAGACCCTACCCTAGCCCTAGCCTAGATCACCATTTCGAGCTGTCCTCCACCAGGTGGCCGGGGCAAACCGAACCCAACCGAACCGATTTTCAGCAGCCCTCCACCAGGGAGCATGAAGGGCGGGAAAACGACCCAAGCAAATCGACCTGCGGCCAGGCGAGAGACCTCACTGCCGATGAAAGGGAAGAACTGATAAAGGCGAAAGGGCGGGTGATTGATGGGGGGTTGACTCAGCCGTTGTAGATACATAGTCAGACTGTCCAACTGGTGCGGCCACATGTATTTGTTTGATGTCAATATTCACACACGATGAGAATCTTTCCTTCATGACGGAGATGTCACACACACACACACACGCACACGCACACGCACACACACACACAAACAACACACACACACCACACACACTCCATCCTGGCACCGCCGCCATCAGTCCCGCCACCATAAGGAAAGGGCCACGGTGACTCCAGGATCGAACGCCATCATCCGAATATTAATCATCCGACACGAGAAATGGACGTCCAGTGTGTGTGTAGAGTAGCACCGACGTCTACTTCACGTCACGTGTCGTGCGCACAGCCATACTGTATATCAATCGTGCGGTGCCGGGCACCCTTCCTGCTGTGTTGATGCAGAGGCAGTGGCTGTTCGTGTCTGCAGTGTGTGTGAGAGGTTGCGCTGCTCCTCCAGTGCATGGCAGAGGTCCTCACATACGTCAAACAACTCACGCCGCACCTCATACCTTCACACACACACACACACACACACACACAAGCACACAGGCGCACGAACACAATGTGGGAATGCGAGAACGACGTGCAGTACAGATGACCACGGACCAGTGTCTGTCAGCTCTGGCCTTGTTGATCTCTTTGGTCAAGTCTGCCCTGGCTGCCTGCAGCTGAGACACGCGGCTCTTGCCAGCTGCATCACGACCTCGCTGCACCTGGACGAACATATACAGGATATGACCGAGAAGCTGGGCCAGGACGGTGAGTGTATGACACTGTGGGTGGGTGGGTGCGCACGAGTGCGTCAAGCTTCCCTCCTACGTGTGTACCGTGAAGTGTTTCCGCTTGGTGAGAGCTTCGAGTTCTCTTTCGTACATGCGTCGTTCGTCCTTCTGCTTGTAAAGACGCTGGTAGCATATCTGGACCTGCAGCGATGCCGACAGACAGACAGACATGCACAACGTAACACGCGAACGAAGATGTCCGTCTGTCTGACCCTTCTGTGCGTGTCTTCTGCCTGTGCCAGCTGCTGCCGCACCTTCTCCATCGCCAAACGCACACGGCGGGCCCTGTACGCATGTGTACGACACGTGTACACACATTCACATACACACACTTAGGTGAACGGACATGGATCAACGATCCGAGAGTGGATACAACCAACCGGCCCACAATGCGAGCATCCTGCCATCTATCTATCTCTCTGTGCGTGGCTGCCCACCTGAGTTCTGCTTGTGCGGGTGCTTGTCCGCGCCATCTGTGTATGAGTTCCTCTCGCGTCATGGTGTGCGGCAGCAGACACTGCAGGAGCTCGCCGGCCGTGCTCGGCACGCCGTCCTTACCCCACAGACCCGCAGTGCCGCCCACGTGGCCCGCCACCGATGACCGCCGCCTCTCGTCCCTTCCCGGCGTGGCGTCGGCCGGGGGAGACAATGCCGCCTTCATCGCACCACTCAGCGGCATCCCACTCACAGGCACTACTCAACCACACAAACAGACAGACAGACAGACATACACAGCCGTGTGGCAGGTGCTCGCTCGGTTTTCGTAGTCGTGTATTGCGGGTGGCTCACGTGGCTTGACTCTGTTTCTGGCGTTGGATTTTCGCCTTCCCTGGTTTTGGGACGACTTCCGGCGCTTCGTGCTGCCTTTCCTGCCGTTGGCGGCAGCCCGGCGGGATGCCTGACCTCCGCTCTTCTCACCCGAGCTGCTGCTGGCGCTGCTGCTGCTGCTGCTACCGGTGTGTGATGTGCTGTCATTGTCCCTCTGGGAGTCTGACATCGCAGCAGATGGAGAGACGGGAGCTGGTGGGAGCTCAGCCATTTCCCCGTCTGCCATGCATCCATCCGAAGCCGGCCAGGGACACATAATCACAAGGAGACACGAAATGCGGCTGTATAAACATGTATGTGTTGGCTTGTTACCGAATACGGGTGGCAGTGGTGGTGGTGGGCGCGGGAAGAGGCGCTGCAGGTGTGTCACATGTTGAGACCACCACTGCTCCAGCCTCAGGCACAGCATGGCCCTCTCCATCTCAGCGCGACTCAGGGGCTCCATGTGGGTGGGCTTCATCGTCCGATAGTTATAGATGCTGTCGAGCGTCCAGCTGTCGTCCTCCAACAGGTCGTCACCACCCTCTCCGCCGCCCCACATGTCCACCGGCACCTTGTTGCCGCTCGCATCATAAAATGAGAAGGTCACGCGCCTCTTGCTGCCAAGGCGGGAGGGCTTGGACTTGGTCGGTATGGGTGGGCTGGCATCCTCTTCGCCGACCGCAGACGATGCCGCTGACGGCGTGTGAGAATGTGTATGTGTATACGCGGCGGGGGTGCTGAGGCCGCCGCGAGACGGGCTGCCCTCCTCGCTCACAAGAATGGTGCGGGTGGTGGTGCGTTCAGCGTCATCAGCCTTCACCTGCATGATCACACACGCAGACAAGCAGAGAGCCATACGCGTGTCCCTTGGATGTGTCGCCGATGAGTGAGTGAGTGTGTGGGCCGGTGGCTTGCCATGCGAATGACGCTTTTGAATGCGGACCGGAGGTTGTCACTCATAGCGCTGGTCGTCCCAGCAGCAGCGGTCATGTGTCTCTTGGCCTCCTCGACGAGTGTCCGCCGCCACGGGGACACCGACCGGCGAGAGAGCCCGCGGGTGACCTGTGCGGGAGACCCACCGATGGGCGACGATTCGCCCCACACCGAGCTGTACTTCTTTTCGGGTTTCTTCTCCTTGGGATAAATGCGCCGACGCACCCAGCCCAATTCAGCTGACGGCAGGCACACAGCCATCGAAGGGGGCGTGTAGTGTACTGTATGTATGCTGATCGGATGTTGTTTGCTTGCCTACTTACCGTCGCCGAGAGCGGTTGTAGATGCCAGTCTGTGCGACTGTGTCCTCTCTCCCAGCCGCCTGCACGGACACACACACACATCCGCACAGTCAAGGACATCGATTGGCGATCGAGGGTCTCTTGACGTATATTTCGGCTGACTCTCCTACCCACTGACCTGAGAGCTTTGAGCACCTGGTGGATGAGGTGTCGCTCTCTCACCGTCCGCCGACTCATAGTTGTCGAAGATCGCATCAGCGGCCCTGTGGCTTTCTTGCTGGGGTGGCCCCCAGGCCGCTTGTCGCCCTTGGCCACCGTGGTCGACTCATCCTTACCCAACAGGCCAGGTTGTGTCATCGAGAGTAGAGAGATGGGGTGGGCGTCGATGTCTTCGAAGTGATCGGCCTCCTCGAGCCCGCCCTCCAACACGCCAAGGCCCAGGTTGGTCCGCGAGAAGGACCGCTTTAGCTCAGTAAGGTTTGTCAGCTCGTCCACCTGACAGGAGAATGCAGGACAGACACGTGCGTGTGCAGGACAAATATGTGTGGACCGGCCATATGAATCTGTGCTGTCTCATACTTTGATCTTCTCGAGGAAAGTGAGCGCGAGCAAGACGACCTCTTCCCTTTCACTGTCAGCGGCCTGGCGCCGCTGCATAGAGCGGAATCGCTCTCTCGCCGCCTCCAGCCGCCGCTTGGCATCCTCGTGTGCGGCCGCCCGTGGACTCTGTCCGGCGGTGAGTGTCTCGCGCACCCACACGCTGGCGTGCTTTGGCGAGGGAAGGAGACGGGACGGTGGAGGGGACTCCCCTCGTCTGCCAGTCGGCCTCTGGCGCCGTCTCGTCGACGGGCGGCTTGACGGGGCAATCGAGAGCGAGACGCGTGGAGTGGCAAAACTGCCTTCCTTTGCTCTCGCCTGTCCTGTCCTCGCACTGCCGACAGGCGCCGTCATCGGCCGCCGATCGGTCTCGGCACCTCTTGCTGCAGAGGTCTCAAGGCGGCGGTGGGCCCGATAGGCAGACCACAGGGGCCGAGGAGAGTGCTGGGAAGGCGGTGAGGGAGCCACATGCGACGGAGCGCACGTGGAGGGCGTCTCGAGCGTTCTGGGCTGCTCAACCCCTTCTTGCTGCTGTTGGGTCTTTCTCTTGATATAGCGCTCCAGCAGCAGCTCATCTCCATCTCTGTCCTCCCGCTCCTGCTGCTCTTCCGGCCGGCCAGTATCAGCCTCTTCGCCCTGCTGTGAACGCTTTGACAGCCGCCGAGCGGAGAGAGTCGTGGGGGAGGAAGGGGGAGGGCGAGGGCGAGGGAGAAGCAAGGGTGGGACCGGCGAGGGCGCTGGCTCGTCACGACGCTGCTTGGCTGCAGCTGGCGGGGATGGCCTGTCAGCGCTCCGCGCCATTGCCTCCACTCGTGTCAGGTTTGGCGGGGCCCTGGTCGCCCGCCGCTGATACTTGTAGGGATAATGGGCCGCCTTGTCGGGGAGAAGGGTCACCACGGTGAGCGGCGGGCGGCCATCGTCCTCTTGCTCGCCCTCCGCACGGCGTTTTCCTGTTGTCGTGCGTCCCTCTTCTTGCGTCCTGCTGGCCGTGGGCGCCTTGATTCTGCGGAGCAGCCGCTGCACGGGCTCCGACTACACAAGGAAAGAAAAACACCAACAAGACTCTGTCGTTCGTCTGTGTGTTTTTTGTGCGGCACTCACCTCCACCCTCACTCTCATGTGCACCATATCAGGTCTGGTCATTCTCTCCGTCTGCGCGTCCTTCTCCCTGGCCTCCGCCGCAAACGCCTCGTAGGCGAACCAGGGGTGCTCACGCCTCGACATCACGGATGGGAAGCCCACTCGGTTCAACTTCGCGATTGATGGCGACGCATTCAGCGCTTCTTTTTTGGGGAGGGGAGAGAAGGACGAGTTGGGGGCAGGAGCGGGCCAATGTTGCGAGCTCAAACTTGAGGATCTCTTCGTGTCCTTCTCATGACTACTGCATCAGATTCGTCGACCATCTTCTGTCGGCATCTGCAGTGCTGTGAGGCTGGCAAGCGGTTCCGAAGTTGATGCCCAGCTGAAGTCAGAAGAGACCAACGCTCCGATCAGGCTCTTCTGACAACGGCAGCCGACTGTGCTCCTGGCAGCGCAAAGGGAGCCCGAGAGCAGAAATTTACGAATGAAGATCAGAGCCGACTTCACTTCTCGCTTCTCGTCAGATGCACCACATGGCACAGCACACTCGTCGCATACATCCAATGCATCTCTTTCCGGATCTGCAGCATTTGCAAGCTCGCAAAAGGCTCTGAAGTGCAAACAGCAGCCGGGTGAGGCCATATTCCACAGCACAGCACTCTCTCAGGTCAATCATGAGCACACACCAAAGGAAAGGCCATCAGTCCTTCAGTCCTGACTGACCGATGCTGTTGTGTTGTGTGTGTAGGTGATGCAGCTGAAGTTGGGTCACATATCCACGATGATCTTTTTCCTCCTTGTACTTCATCTACCCCTTGCTGTGATGGGCATGAAGTACAGACCACGTAGGCAGGTGGATCAACAGAAATATAGATCATGGGAGACCATGCGGCCACCATGGCAGACTACGAAATACATTGAGTTGTGTTTCAGCACGGTCTCAGAGGAGTCAACCGCGGCCCTCTGTTGGGATGCTAATGTGCCGCGAGGCTGTACGCAATGGATCATCTTGACTGTCCCTTGCACAGCTGAGTATGCCGACTTCCACCTATCACTCGCTCGACAGGTGACCCAGACACACACACATACACGGACACACAGACACACACACACACACACACACACAGGGAACACATGTGCGTGGTTTCTGAGTTCAGGGGGTGTCATCTCTGCCTATTTTCATCGCGTACCGGCACCATCCCTCCCTACGAATGGTACACTCTCATTATGGACATAACAGCGATGCACGTACACAGGAACGTGTGCATGTGTTCAGGTTGGTGAATCACTGCAGCAGTACGTTTTCTCTGCCCTTCTCCCACAATCCAGTCAACTCACATAGAATGGCCCACACACTGGTGGACAGAAAGGATAGAGGGGGGGATGAATGTGATGTATCGTGGTGTTCTCTATGCTTGTGTGCATTTGTCTTTCCGTCATCGGCACGTCTGCTTTATAGAAGGTGAGAGCAAGACAGCCACCTGTCCCCTCAATGACTCATCTGCTAGTCTCTTTATTCAGGCATTCGTCAGCTTTCATCGACCTTCAGCTGCGTGGCCTTCACCCTACGCGCTCCGCAGCCGCTGTTTGCCGTCGGTTATTGTGGCTAAGATGACAGTTGATAGGCCTGCACTGCCGCTACTGAAAGTCCCTCGCCTACTCGATCAAATCACAAGACGGACGATTAATGAAATCGAGAAGGACGCCATTCACTACGTCCAGCCGCCAAACGAGAGGGAATATCAAAGTAAGACTATCAATTTGATGCTGCTGTATCTTTACTTGGTGACGAGTGGGCGGCTAACGTTTTATGATGATCATCTTTGGTCCAAGACATTGAACAGGCCTGTTTTCACGCTGCGCGATCCCAAGACCAGCAAGTTGACAAGAAAAGACGACCTACGTCCAGATTATCTACTTGCATGCGACAATGTTCCCTTCTTGATCATTGAGGTCAAAATACCAAATGAGCTCGACACGGTGTTTGGGCAGCTTGAGAGATACAACATGAGGCTGAAACTAAACGAAAAAAAAGGGGCACTGCAAGTCGAATGGTATGCGTGCAGCGATGGCAATAAGTGGGAATTTTGTAGAAGGGATCCCATTACCGATAAGCTGGTGGACAACAGAAGGCCCCTCGAGCTCATTGATCCTCAGCAGAGCGTGGAGGCTGTGGTGGAATGGATTCTGGCTTGTCTGCCCGATGGAAGAAGACCGAATGGGCTACGGTCTAATCGCGATAGGACAAGACTCCAGCGTTTGCGGAGAAATGAAGGATGCAATCGTCAGCTTCAGGGGTCAGTGAGGGCAAGTGAAATCGGGCATGTGCGTCACGTGGAGGGGTCCGTATGTACAAGAGAGCGTCATATATGTAGAAGACTTCCATGCCTTATTGCCCTTTGCTGTATGACATTTTTTCAAAGAAACGACCACTTGAATGAGACGCAGAGATTTGAGGAAAGTCTGTCACGCATAATCTATGCATCGCGCCGGCAAACTTTTCGCCCCCTCCCTCCTTCCTTCTCATACTTTAATTGCACACAGATCGCCCACGCACAAAAACAAGCTGGCCTCTAACGCTTTGCGTCTGTGTCGTTTCTTCCTCATTCATTCGAGCCGTCCAAACAGCTGCCTGGCTGGACGGCATCATACATACGATCACTCCGTCCATCCAGTTATATACATGTGAGTGACTAGATAGCCAGCATATGTATCTCAGTCAGTCAGTCAGTCAGTCAGTCAGCCAGTCACACTTATCGGCGTCTCTCTACCCCCCGTAGCCGCCGCGAAGTCCGCCATTATGTCCCCCAACGTCGGCCCCTGAAAGCCCTCTGGTTCTTCCTTCTTGTCTGGGTGCTGCAGGCGATCTAGAATGTAGTCAATTGCCTTCTGCGCGCCCATCCCGCTTTCATCAACCAGATGGATGGGCTCATCCATGGTGTCCACCAGCTTGTTGGTGTCGTGGTCCAAGTACTTGCAGTACCACCTCTTCTCGATGACAGCTGCACACTGCGTGATGCCCCGATCACGCATGAGCCATATCAAGTCGTCGTACGCCTTGTTGCTCAGCTGGACGCCCATCAGCACGGCAAACAACGTCCCGTCGCTGCACACACATCCACACACACACACACACACATACATACAAACACACACACACACACACACCGTCAATGGACGCATACGCACAAACATCGCAGCCTCCCTCCATCCCTGTCTGTCTGTCTGTCTGTCAAGCACACACACTCGACACACTGGCTGACTCTTCGCTCTTGATTTTGAGGTTGAGGCCATCCTTTTCGATGACGATGAGGGTGAATACGTCCTCCTTCTCCACCACCACCTCCTCCTCCTCGTCCTCGTCCCACTCCGGATCGTAGTCATCGCCGCCATCGCCATAATCATGCCCGTCGTCGGCGTTAGGCCCGTCCACGGCAGACACAACCACCCGCCAATCGGTCTGACGGACCAGCTCATACATCTGCATTTAGGTACGTGGGTGGTTGATCGACACACCACAGACAGACCGACCGACCGACCGACCGACTCGTATGACTGTGTGTTTGGATGTGGATGTGCCACCCTCCCACGCACCAGAAGCCAGAAGTAATAGCCACCGTAGGTAATGTTCCTTGGCCGGCGGCTCACTTTTAAGGTCCTATTGATGAAACACACACAAAGACAACAGTGGGCGGGTCGGTGTTGCGGGGGTGTTGGCTGGGGAGTGTGTTCGTGTGTGCATAGGTATGTGTGTATTGGCTCACTCACTTTGTCAAGATGCCCTTGATTCCGGCCGAGTATGCGGTATCGAAGAAGAACCGGCGCATTTCAACTGGCACTGTCACTTTGGGCAGCGGAAGTCGTTTGTTGATCCTAACTTGCAGCTTCATTTGCTCTATGTTCTCCTGTGCAGGGTAGAACTCGGGCGTCCAATCCAGCACCTGATCGATCAGCGCACACACACCACGTGGAAGACAGCGGCATGCAGACAGTCACATCCAGTGCACTCGATTGCCTGTTGTCAGATCTCCCTACCTCCCCCTCATCCAGTGCGGCAGCAGGTGCCTGGACAGGAGGCTCCGAGTGGCCGGCAGCGGCTCCACCTTCGCCACGGTAGCCCACCTGTTGCAAGGAACGGTCGCACCTTGCCGGCTTTGTGCTTCGAAGGAGAACTCCATCCGCAGGTACGGGCAGCTCGCTTAGCTGCAAATGCGCAGAGCCATGGGATGGGCCAACCTTTCGCCGCTCCGAGTCGCGTGATGGTTGATCGGATGCGCCGAGGTGAGCCGCTGACGGTCACGGCTGGGACGGGGATGAAAGACGATGCTCTGACAGGGCACCGAGGTAACACACAAACTAACCAAAGCAGCGAAAACATCCGTACTGATGTCGTCATCAGCCAGCACATCCTCTGGACAGCACATCTGCAGGCTGGCGAAGCACTCGCACACACACCAATCACTTCCTCAGCATCGGAATCGTTCTCTTTCCTTCATCTTCACGCTCGCGCCATCCCGCAAGCTAAGCTCGCAAGGCGGGCGCGCTGAGCATTTTGAGGGTAAGGAACTCAGAGTGGTCCACATTGCTCCATAGCACAAGATTCTAGCGGTTGGTTTGGTGAGTTGTCGTGTTTGGGCCGTCTTGATATATGTGCTGCCACTGTGCGGCCATCCCGATGCTTATCGCAAATGACAGGCGGCCATGAACAGGTCAGCAACACCGTATGTATGCTGAAGAGTTTGGAAGACGCACAGACATGGGGAGAGAGAACGACGTTTATGTGTGTGCGCTTGGTGTGTGTGTTGATGTCGTGTCAGGCTGCTGATGCCATCTTGATGGACAGTCCAGGTGTCCCATGAGTGCCCCATAATGATGTTCGGGAGCCGAAAGTCTCCCCGAGATGACCGCCACAGCAGCAGAGCATATGAGGACCAGCCGTCGCCCCTTCCCTCCCCCAGTCAGTCGGTCGTGTCGCCTCCCCCGGTCCCTCTGCACGTGGCGCAGATAGCCAGCCGCGTGTGGGTGTGTCGGTCGCCCTATGAGTTCCACACGAGCCCCTTCAAGCCCCTCAACAACGTGGAGCAGCTCAAGGGCTTCCTGGACGGCCTCGGCAGCTACTATGTGGTGTGGAACCTGCACAAGGCCGACGACCTCGGCCGGCTGCTGATGTTTCGCTCCAGCTTCCGCGAGCAAATTCTGTCTTACCCGATGCCCGTGTGGTTCTTCACGCCACCGCCGCTGACAGAGCTCGTGAGCCTCTGCAGCTCCATGCTCTACTGGATGCAGCTCGAGCCCAAAGACCACATCGCCGTCCTGCACTTCGAGGTCCGTCCGCGATACACATACGACAATGCACCCGTTGAAGAAGAACACAGAATGCGACTCCCTCTCCCTCCCTCCCTGCTTGTGTTGTGTTGTCTCAGAATGCTACGGACGGTGTGCTGCTGGCTCTGGCGTGCTTGATGCTGACCCTGCACCCCCGCGCAACCCCAGCAGAGGTGGTGCAGACCATCAGGGAGACCTCACTGCTCCTCTCCGACGCAGCCAATGGCCACCAGCTGTCTGACCATCGGCCCTCGTCACGTCGTTCACCCGACAGTAGACACGCGAGCGACCGCAGTGAGGGCAGCGCCAGTGGAGGAGAGGGCGGTGTGCGGTCCTCTGCGGCGGGCAGCAGGCGGCCTGAGGTCATCCCATGCCCACCACTGCGGCAGTGGCCCTCAGCGACCCGGCGGTACCTCACCTACTTCAAGCATGTGCTTGACAAGGACCCAAGGCCATTAAGGCCGCCAGACGACCACGACCATGACGGCAGGGGGCCGGAGGGGTCGCCATCGCACGACGCGCATCAGCAGCAGCACCATGAGGACCACCCCCACCGCCACGTGCATGCGGCGGTGCAGGCCAAGCCGCTGATGCTGAAGAGCATCATGCTTCGCAACTTCCCCGCGCCACCAGAGGACCTCGTCGTGGAGGTCTACCACCTGCGCGCCACTGGTCCCGTCCGGTCGGCCGATTCGAGCACGGCCTGCTCGACGCCCCCCAGCCTAATCACTCTCAAGAGCCCTGCCATGTCACCCTCCCCGTCATCCGTCAAATCGGTGGCCCCGTCTCAGCCGCCGGCCCGCCGGTCCTCTGGCGGCTCGTCGATGTTTCAGGGGTTCACTGGGTTCCTGGGCTTCGGCGGCGGCAGCAGTGTGTCCAAGGCGACACCGACCAAGAAGACCAGGAGGGGGTCGGCCGACGGCCAGGGCAGGAGGAGAGGGAGCGGAGAGAGGTATGACCCCTATCCCCCCTTCCCCCTCGCAGCCAAAAGCCCGCCACGGGCTCACACCTCCAGCCCCGCCCCCTACGCCAAATACGGCCGCGACGCCAAGAAGGGGAGGCATAGGAAGGACGACACAGAGAGCGAAGACGAGGAACACGTGCCCATCGGCGTTCGAGAGGATGAGCCCACCTGGGATTTCGAGGCGTGTCCTTACATCGGCGAACCCGACTTCCGCATCATGACGTCCCAGACCATTCCGGCGCCGCAGGGGAACAAGAGGGCCGGTCCGCCATCGCAGGTGTGTGCGTGGAACCCCCAGCGGGAAGACACGGCGCTGGTGTTTCTGGATCTGACGCACGCCGGCGGCAGGGACGACGAATCTCGACAGGGTGGGCCGAGAGAGGGCGAGAAGCGCATGCAGTGGGAGATCCGGGGCGACGTAGTGGTGACGGTGCGGCTGCGACAGCCAGCGGCCTACCTCAAGCGGAAGCGAGAGCTGAAGGAGCGGCTACGGCGGGAGCGAGACCACGAGGAGGGCAGCAGTGCGCCGTCCCTGTCGCCCCCGCGGTCGTCTGTGCGGCGCTCTGATTCGACCCCTCCAGCGCACATGGATGTGGAGGGCGACAAGGAGAGCAGCGGAGGCGAGGAGTCGGAGGGCTTCAGGACCGAGGCAGAGGGCCCCGACTCCAAGAGACGCAAGGTCACGTCGACCAAGGACCGGGGCGACAGGACGTCGTTGGACATGCCGGGCGGCATCTTGGCGGCGTACGCCTTCCACACGGGGTTCCTGCATCCTGGTGTGCATGACATGGTGGAGGTGAAGCGGCCCGACATGGACATCGACATCGGCATCGACCAGCACCTCTTCGGAGACACTGACAAGGACGGCGACCCGGAGCTGGCGGCCGCCCTCGAGCCAAGCATGTCGCTCATCTTCCTCCATCAGCACGCGGCACACAAGGTGTCACCGGGCCCCGCCGACCAGACCATGCAAGAGGAGCGTGAGGTGCCTTTGCTCATCCCGCCCCCTCCCCACCTCGCTGACGCACCCCCAGCATCATCTGTGCCCCCCAGCCCC